CTTTTTTCGGGTTCGGAGAGACAGAAAGAGAGAGAGATCTGGAGGGGAGTTAAAGAAAGGATGGTTTGGATCGAAGCAAAGGAGATTTGATTTGATGAGAAAGCGGTGGAAGGCCGAGAGCCAGAGGGCGGGGGGGGGGGCGCTTAGGGGAGATACGGGGCTGAATCTCGTTCGGTTTTCAATTTTATTTTTTTGGGAATATGGTGGTGAGGAAATCTTGCGAACGCGATCAGATCAGGGCTAGGCACTTTTGTGAAAGCCTCGGCTGTCCGTGAGCAGAGGGAGTGCTTCGACCTTGGGCTGCTGTCCTAGCCCGATTCTTGAACAGCTGAAAGGTGCTGAGGGTGTAGGGGGGCGAGCGACGTGAAGGATTGGGGGAAGGTGGATGTGGACGAGAGCAGTTGATAGGTACAAGAATGCTGCGTGGGAGATCCTTGGGCTGACGAGGGTATATCTTTCTGGCGGCAAATGGACTGAGATCGGTGGACGAGGTGAAGATGTTGACAGCTAGAGAGTTTGGGGGATAGGGCACTTCCGTAGAAGAGTTCCGTAAGAAGGACGAGGAGAGGCGAGAGGTGAAACAGTGTGTGTGTGTGTGTGTGTGTGTGTGTGTGTGTGGGTGGTCGCTCGGCAAGGTGGGGGTTGAAGGGATGGTGGATTGGGTGATGCTGAGAGACGAAGGGTGATGTGTATATGCACAACAGGAGTTGACTGTAGTGGCAACGTTCAGGTCTCAGGTCATCTTGATACGGGGATGACGATGAAAAGACGACCACGGGTCCACTTGGAATGGCAAACTTGAGAGAATAGGCTTTAATGAAATTTTGGCCACGGAGCGGTGGATGGAAAGGGAGGGGAGGGAGGGGAGGGCTGAGGGGGTGGATGGAGTCGATGGAGTCGAAATGAGACAGGGGAAGGGAAAAGAGCAGGAGATCCAAGTGGCAGTCGCTCTCATCTCAGCACACAATGTCAGTGTGTGTGTATGCGTGTGTGTGTGTTGTGTGGTGTGTGTGTGTGTATGTGTGTGCGTCGGTGTGCGTGGGTATCAAGCGAGCAAACACCAAGTTGGGAAGCATTCACTTTGCAAGCAAGACCGACCTTTGAACGATGCCAAAAGCAAGAACAAGACTCGTTTTGGATTGGGCTTTGAATTCGCTCGCAGGAGCACACAAGCACATGCAGTCTGTGAGTGTGTTGAGTGTGTGCTCGGACTGCGACTGCGTGCATGTAATGGACACTTCACAGCTTGCGCAGTGTGAGTGTGAATAAAGTGAGTGCATGCTGTATGTCTGTATGTGACTGTATGTTACTTCATTTATGTACTCTCTCCGTACACTCTGACTCTGTGCATGCAAGTACTGCCGTGCTGTCTTTATCCACTGACGCTCGCACGCTCGCAAGCAATCACTTGTCTAATGAGACACGCTCACGCACACCGACAACAGGTCAGGGTGTTGTTAGTGGGTATGTGGTGTGTGTGCGTAAGCTCGGCTAGAGAAAGAAGGGGGGCAATCGTGGTCCGCAATGGTGGTCCGGGTGCTGGCGGATCGTCGCGACTTGGGCGAGCTACTCAGACTCACTGTGAGACCCTCTCCCGACAACCCCCCCCCCACTTTGACCGATCAACTTTGTCATCCTCCTCGTACTTACAAAAGCACCAAGCCGACGCAACATGAAGGACAAGTAGACCTAGTTCTGGCTCAAGGAGATGAGTGAGAAGCTTGAGGGAGGAAGGAGCGACGAGGGGAAGGGAGGGAGGGAGAAAATGAGGCTCGGACGGGGGTTCGCAACACATAGTCGCGCATCGCATAAGAGTCAAAACAGGGAGGGTGGTGGTTAGGCTCGAGGGAACCCGGTCAGAGTCGTGATCAACGGGAGTCAAGCGTCAGGCAGAATTGAATCGTAATGACAGTGAGGTGATCAAACATGATATGAGGACGACCTTCTTTGCCCAGAGACCATGTTGCGACAGTCTACAAAGGGGGGTTGGTTGGTTTCATGGTCGTTTCAATCCAAGCATCGGCTGGGTAACGATGGTGTCCGCGAGTGAAAGGGGGAGGGGGGGTTGGGGATGACACATTCGAAAAAGGCGAAGGAGGCAGAGGAAGGGAGCCATCCTTGCGCATAGAAGGGGAGGTCAGTTGAGTGCTTCTTGGACGAGATGAGAAAGGGGAAGGGGATGAAGAAGACGTGAGAGTGCAAGAACATGAAGGGGGGGGAAGGGGGGTCACATCTACTCAAGCCAATGCCATCCCTTCCCAAGAACAGGAAAGACGGCGAGGAGCGCATGCAAACAACAGACAAGCTCACTCCATCATATCAGCACGGTCTCATTCTCAATCTCAAGCCATCGAGAGGGAAGAGCCCGAATTAGGGACTGGGCGTGGTCCTCTCGATTGCTTGGATCCCCTCCTCCTCCCCTCTCTCGTTTGGAATAGGATTTTGGCTGGCGGGCGCTCTACCTTGATGTGTGGAACGACGATCCTCCCTCTCTCTCCTCCCTCGCCATGACCTGTGGAATTCGATGAGCATTCAGTTGACCAGAACGTGTTCATATGAACTCAGACTGTGACTTTCGCTCTTAGCCTCGCGCCGACCGCTCAGGGTCGATTCGTTGGGTACATTCAAGGTTGGTTACAGCAAGCGTGTACCAGAATATTCGTTCGTACAGTTGATCTCTCCCTTCGCTCTCCCTCTCTTTCTCTCTGTGCCTCCCTTCCAGCGAGCCTTCCACGCCCTTTCACGACCAAGGATCCTTTGGGTTTGCGGTGAGTCGTGATTCTGAGCGGATAACAAGGGCTAGGAGGAAAAAAAGCATTGTTTTCCTCCTCCTCCTCCTCCTTCCTTCTCGTCTAACCCCCTGCCGGAGATTGATACCCGAGCCATAAGGAACCACAGCTCAGGATCAGCGGAAGCACTCAAGAATGACTTGAACTCCCCTGATTGCTCAACCAGTTATCAAAATCCGTGATGATTGTGTCTCCATCCCTATGCATGTTGAACAAGTCATCTCCTTCCCTCTGCCAGTCGATTCCGTCCGAGTTGATCAACGGACAGTTCTTGCTTGCCAGGTTGTACTTTTGCCCAGGCCTGAGGTCAACCTTGCACAAGGGGATCTTGCCAGTATTTGAGAATTCATGCCACAAATCAGGATTGTCCCCAGCAAGCCAGTAGATCATCCTGGCCTCCCACTTTTGAATCTCTTTATTCATTCTCATCTGATAGAGAAGCTGCCTGGAGAAGGAATTATCATACAAGGTTCTCCTCTTGTCAGACTCTTCTCTCATGTCTACAGTGGTCAATCTGAAATTCATAGATTTGTCAAGGTTGTTGTCCTGTTCTTCATTTGCTCCCTGACTGTTCAAATTAATATAATTGTAGACTAAAGGATTACTCCTGACTCCTAACTCAGGGTTAGGAACCCCAATGGACAACGTAGCCACTCCTGGCGTTATAGTAGTTTGTTTTGACCTATTATATTTTCCGCGTTTGTAATTTGCACGTATCCAAGCCTCAACATGATCCACCTCTTTCTTTGTCAGATCCCTGACATTCAAGTTAATAGGATACTGTTTTTCATTGAGGTGATCTACTGGAAGACCTAATGACTTTGCATCCTTTAGGGTACGGCTCCAATTAAAACCATACCATGCTATGACCAGTGGTAGAAAGAGAGATCTTACAATAATAAAGAAAAGGAGAATATGGTCTACTAACATTTTTTTCTGCTTCTATTTAAGATTAATTTTAATAGAGTTGCTTTTAGATATAAAAATATAGGGAAAAACAGTTTAGAGCAGAAGTAGAAATATTGATAGAGATGAATGTAGAAGTATATGTAGAAATAGAAGCAAAGATGAAGAATGGAAAATCAAGAATTCAGATAAAGTTAATCTAATATTGATGAATTTGTCTAGGAAAAGATGAGAAAAGGAAAAAGAAAGGTCAGTCTATTCAAAGAAAATGTGACACCTTTGAAATCATGCATCAAGTCTCTAAGTGAAAAAAAATAGCAAAGGAGATACTTAGGAAACTGAAATAACTCTATTCATAAAAAAAGAGAAAACTTTTGGAAAAACACATTAGTAAAAGAGAAATTAAATTAGAGTGATAAGAGCAAGAGTATAAAGGTTTTCACAAGATTTTATAGAATAAACTTATTATTGACTGAAACTTGAAAATAGAGTCTTGTAACTAACTTGCTTAGAAAGATAGGAAACAATGTAATTTAATTTGTTGAAAATTGAGAACAGAGCTGTGTATATTGCTTTCTTGAGAAGTGGAAATAATATGTATCTAAACTACATCTTATATACCTTTCAGGTATTCTTTAAGGGGCTCCAGTAAAATACATCAATCTCAACCAAAAGATACAAGAGTGATGTGTGATGTGGTACATGAGTAAAGGGTAGAGAGAGCATAAGAAAGTTTCTGGACTAAATTAGTACCAGACTAAATTAGTACCAGCCTAATTTAGTCTAACTCAGAAGAAGCTTTGAACTAAAATGACCTTTGGAACTAAATTGACCTAATTGAGTTCAAGTATATTTCAACTTAATTGAATCTCATAAGATTTAGAGATAGTTTCTAAAAGATTGTTTTTAAAAAAACAATTAAAATTTAAGAATAAGCCATGATAGGAGATATAATAGGATATATAGAAAACAAAGTAAAGACTTTAAGAAAAATAGGAAATAAGTAAATAAATGAGAAGATAAATTTTCTGATCTAATTTAGTGTCTATTTTAGTCTATTGAAAAAAGAAGCTTAATATTAAAATTATAGATTACATCAGCCTCATTAATTTTAAGTCTATTCTAATTCCATGTTTACGTAAAAATATAGTGTATAGAAGCTCTAAAAATAATAATAATGATTTGGGGTAAATTTTAGCTTAACTGGCCTGGAAAGGTATGATGCTGCCTTTCTGTGTTGGCTTGATCGATGCCTGATGCGAGTAGTAGAATAAGTATGTTAATATTTTTTTGGAAAATATCTTAGCTTCCTTAGCGTAGTTGGTTTATCGCATCCGTCTAATAGACATGCCCACCGAACAGGTGGTACATCCAAACGGAAGGTCACTAGTTCGAGCCTAGTAGGGAGCACTTCTTTTTCCCCTCTGTTCCTGTTCCCTCTGCGTTTTTGTCCAAATCTTTTCCATCTTCTCAGCACTCGGCTGACCGAAACATACCTCTTGCACAGTCACTGTTGTGATGTTCAACCTTTTTCACACCCCACGTCCTTAACCAGCTTGAAAGGGCATTAGTCTTCTACATCGGGGATTGCACAAGGGAGAATCATGAATCATGAATTTTGAAAGGGAATGACTTTGGAGAGTCATGCCAACTCTTCTTTCCCCTCCTCGACTTAGTTCGCAATGCTGACGGAGACTTGGCTTTTTTTTTTTTTTTTTTTTTTAAATGTGCGTGGGCTGGTGACCGAATCATGTCCGATAGCGGTGTGCAAAGAGTAGTTATTTGTGTACTTCATCTTCCATCGGGTGCCTCTTCGCTCTCGCCCGACACAAAAAGCAGCACAGTTGGTGTAAAAAAAAAAAGAAGTGTTTTCCCGAAGCCCCTCGAAACCTTTCCCCCCACCTTTCTCAGCTTGGAGTGCGCCAGCAGATGATGAGCGGGAGCCGATTTCGATGGTTGACATCTTCATGTCATGGTTGATACTTCGAAACCTGTCAGAACTGAGGGGAGGGGGTGGGCTGGGGTTTCTTCACGTAAAGGCTCCTTAATGGAACAGCATTATTTGATCAGAATAACAAAATCAAAGTCTGTTTGTATTCAGATTCTTAAATATCCATCCATTCCCCTACGATTGCGGTCGCCTTATGTACTCAGGAAGAACAATTCGGGCGGAGCTCGCAACCTTTGCAGATTCACGTTCTTCCTACATGTCAGTCAATGTGTTCCTCTCGAATTCGAGGTGAATTCATTGCAAGTTTTGACCCGCAGAGCCTAGGCCCACGTTAGGGAAGGCCTTGGCTTTTTGGCCCTTCGACAACCCCGCTTTCTCTCTCTCTTTCGGGGCTGGGTTCAGTTGAAGGGAAGGGTTGCTTGCTGGTTGGGATGTGGTTGTAATTCGACAGGATGCAGACACAGCACTGCCTCATATAAGAATTGGCCCACGAGCGACTGGGAGCTCGACCGGGCTTGCCCATGGTGGCAGATGAGACCTAGGGCCTGATGGCCCAATCATGCCGAAACTGGGTGAACGATGCGCGTAGATAACTCGATCTCTCTCACCCTCTTCCCCCTCTCAACCTCTCTCAACCTCTCTCAGACGTTGACGATCCCAGCTCTCTCTCGAGGCAAGTAACAATCAATTCTACAGAAGCCGGCTTCTGATGATTTAGGAGGGAAGCACAAGGCCTGAGATCCATTCCAAAGTTGAAACGAAGTCACCATGTCCTCGAGCGTTAGCGAAGATGTGGCCAGTTTTGAAAGTGAGCCGGAATAGCGAGGGAAGAAAACGCACAGTCAATCAGATTGCATGCCTCTGCTTTCCGTTCGGCACGGCCCCGCCTCCTTGAGACTGGGAAGTTCGGAGCTCTTCCTCAAGTGGTCTTTTTCGGCAGGGAGAGAGCTGTTGGGGTAGTTCGAAGTTGAAGAGGATGGCGATGGGATACTTGGGTTTGAATGAGCACAGGACTTGGTTTGGTGGACTCCAATTCCTCGAAAGTCGAACTCCCCTTGGATGGGGAAGAACGCGGGTGGGGAAAGGGTAAGGGCGGCCTGGAAGGCGAAGGGGCTGGTGAGAGTTGGGACCAATCCTCTTTCTAATTTATTCTAAACTGTTTCCTCTTCAGGTTGACTTACACTCTGGGGCTTTGCATCTCCGCCAGCGCACTGACCCAAGGTGGTGACTTGCTATGCTTTTCTTCAAATTAAACTTTGGTTAGGGGTTGTCAAGTTGGGCTAAAACTTTGGTAAGGGTCCAGTTAGAAAAAAAGAGGGTGCTCCTCCCTTCGAAATAAAAGGTCTGTGGCTGTAAACGTAGGGGTGGAGCTTAGCGACTGGATTCGGTCTGTACTTGATATAAATATGTATTTAAACACTCCCAAGAAAGTCGATTTACTCCTTGACTTGCCGACTGTCTGGCCGACTAATATCACCAATTAAACTAATATGCTATCTAGCTGATGTACTCGACTGGCCTGAGGCCTCGTGGGTGCAAGATTCGAATTCCGACTTGGTGGTTGCTACCAAAATTGGAATCCACTGTCTCGATCCTCCCACTTTAGCGACTTGGACTTGGTAAACCTCTCCCAACCCTAAAATCCTCTCGGCTGCAAGTAACCTCCTGTCACATCTCTGTGTGGACTTCTCATCGTAGCCCTCCCTCCCTTGGCCCTTTCCCCTATCTCGAGGATCTTGGCTCCCTTTGGCCTGCCTTGTGTGAACCTTCCCTTCCCCCTTTCTCTTTTTCTTACCTTCCTCACTACTTTCCTCCCTACACTCTCCCTCACTCCCCCTCACTCCCCCTTTCCCCTTCACACCACCACCGTCATCATCTGCTGACACTTCCACTCTCTCAAGAATCCTCCTCTCGACGCGAAGAAATCGGTCGGCTAGGCCGACAGCACAACCACGCTTACCGCGAGTCCAAGGAGGGACTCTCGACCTCCCGGCTCCGTCGCGTTACGGCACGCACCGTTGTAAGGGTTTAGGCAACACCTACACTCTCTAAAGCAGCCACACTCGTGAGCGCGTTCTTCAAGCTCAGCCAGGAGATTGTTGCACTAGCTAGTCAGCCAACGATTTGGAACCCTTTTTCGGATTGGTTAGATACAGTTCGCGACACGAGAGGACTACGGGACCCCGGCTTTCAAGGTCAAGTTAAGTGAGCAGGCGAGGGGCTGCGACGACCACCTAAAACCTCCTCACCTAGCAGAGGGTAGCCTCAGTCTCCCGCTGAGAGGCGCTACAGCAGGTTGTTGGTCTCCTGCTCAGAACACAATTTCACCCTCTCCTCACCTCTCCCCTTCCTTGCCCTCGGCCTCTCTTTCCATCATATCCCTCGGCATATATTGACGATTTCAGCATGTCGACAACGACAATCACCTCGGCGCCGTTGCCCACCTCCTCCGCCGCCCTGGACTCGGCGGCTTCTCAATCTATAGCTTCGGAAGCTGTTGCCTCGCTTTCCAAAGTCATAGCGTCCGCTTCTGCAGCTTTACACTCCGAAAGTGCAATCGCCGCCGGTGAATCTCTCAACCCTCCCGAATTCAAGTATGTAGGCCTGGCGCTTGCCGTCGGCAGCGGTCTTCTGATCGGTTCTTCGTTTGTCTTCAAAAAAAAGGGCCTCTTGTCGTCGCAGAAAAAGTACGAGACGAGCGCCGGAGAAGGGCACGCCTACCTCAAGTCTCCCATGTGGTGGACAGGCATGATCATCATGGTCCTCGGCGAGGTGTTCAACTTTGTGGCCTACGCATTCGCCGATGCTGTCCTGGTGACACCTTTGGGTGCGCTATCCGTGGTGGTTTGCGCCATCTTGTCATCCATATTCCTGAAGGAGAAGTTGACTCTATTCGGAAAGGTCGGCTGCTTCCTCTGCATTGTCGGAAGTGTCATCATCGCCCTGAACGCTCCGAGTCAGCACGCCGGTGGAAAGATCACCGAATTCCAAAAACTCTTCTTGGCCCCCGGCTTCCTGGTCTGGGCAGGCCTTTGTATAGCCACGAGCCTGGTTCTAGTGTTTTTCGTGGCGCCGAAATACGGCAAGAGGAACATGATGGTCTACATCACCGTCTGTAGTCTTATCGGAGGTCTGAGCGTGAGCTGTACCTCTGGTCTCGGGTCGGCCATCTTGCTCTCCATACGAGGCCAGAACCAGTTCAAGCACTGGTTCGTCTACTTTCTTCTCGGCTTCGTCATCGTCACCCTCCTTGTGGAGATCAACTACCTCAACAAGGCTTTGGAACTCTTCAATACAGCGACGGTGACACCGACCTACTACGTCCTTTTCACAGGTGCCACGCTTATCACCTCCATCATCCTCTTCCAAGGTCTGAAGGCATCGGCGATAGGCATCGTCACGATCGTGATGGGCTTCTTGGTCATCTGCGCCGGAATCGCGTTGCTCCAGATCAGTAAGATCGACCCCGACGACTTGCAGGACAAGCCGGGTCTAGACAGGGGCACCACTCTCCTAATTCGAGCCAGTCGATCTCAGATCTCACATACTGAGAAGGGCGATACCACCGGCATCGAGGACCCAGGGGTCGACTCAGTCAGAGGGGGCCTCGGCATCGTTGGCTCGATGATCCGCGCCAGAAGCTCTCGGAGACTGAGTACCCACGGCTCCTTTGGGCACGGCAGGCATCACAGCGCTGCGGACGAGTACACGCTCGGTGGCCATGGGATGGTGATGACTACGCATGGGTCGGGAAGCATTGAAAGATTCCAGCTTCACGACACCCCAATGTTGAGCGAACGGAGATCCTCCCTTACTGCCCAGACCTTCCAAGGCATGCCGTCGAGGAGGGACACGGCCATTTCTTTTGCCGAAGGTAGCGACTTGCCCCATGGTCATCACCAACACCCGAACTCGGCCCCAGTACAGCAGCAGCCGCAACAAGCCTCCGGCCACGGCCTTGGGGCGATCAAGGAGGCTTCAGGAGGATCTTCTGGGGACCAATCTTCCAAGTACCTCGATCCCTACAGGCCCTCGACCACCACTTTCCCTGGTTCGAGCCACCTTCCGAGGTCTGGGGCAGCTGACAACATCAGGAACATGTGGGGTGGAGGGAATTCCTCCACCTCTCTGACTCCAGGAGGTTCGATCAGCGGTTTTGGTGATTCCATCAGCAGCAACCCGTCACCAGGACTCTCGCCGACAGAGGAAAGCATCAAAGAGCTAGGGAGAGGAACCGCCAGTCCTGAGGACACCGAGGAGGAGGATGTTAACGAGGCGGTGAAGTCCGGACCAGACAAGAAAGTGAAAGGTCAAAAATCCTGGCCGAGACCTCAGTCCTCAGGTGGAAAAAACAGTCGGACCGGCTCAAGAGGGAGAGTCTCGAACGATAGCGAGGAGGAGGAGGAGCTTCTGAGTCCACGTCTTGGCTACGGGAGGAACCTTTGAACCTTTTCCTTGCCATGGTCCCCCCACCCATACCTGCACGTTCCGCTTCTTGCCGCCTCATCCCTTCCCTATCCTTCCTTCATATCATCCTCTGCATGAATTTTGTTGTGGTTGGTTCCAAGCATCAACTTTTGGAATCACAGCCTTTACGAGTCACCTGTAGACCTCCCCCCTTAACAACACCCCAAAAAAAAAGAAAGAAAGAAAAAACAAGAAAGCGAAACGAAAGCATTTCTCCTTCCCCTCCCCCCTCAATCAATTGCTTGTAGTATCTAGAAACGGACACTTACCCATTTTCCCCTGCCCCACAAACCACTTTTCATTCGGCCAGGCGCTGAGACCCGATCTCGACTCGCTCGTCCAGTCAGGAAGGCTTTCGCGAGGCGAATGATTTTGATCGATGTTTTAAATGATACTCCAACTTTTCCAAAAGTAGGGAGAAATGTTGTCCAGGTTGGATTCACCATCGATGGGACGGGGAAGGGGGGGGGGGGGTTGTTTGACGGAGAAGAGAAAGAGAGCGATTGCGGACGTCGCAAGCATTTGCGGACGTTTCTCGACATCGCTTGTGAGGGAGGGGAAAAAAGCAGAGATTTTGAACATAAAAAAGAAACTTCCGGTCCGGGAATTGAACCCGGGTCTGCGCCGAGCGCGTTCAGAAATGACTGACAAGGCGCCGTCATAGCCACTAAACTAACCAGAACGTTGTTATTGGCCTCTCTAATTTTGACGGTATAGACACATATGTATGTACACCGAATCTAAGAACCACTCCAAAACGGATGAAAATCTCAAAAGGGTCAGGCAGGGAAAGAACCATCCGTTCCACTCTTCGATTACATTTCTCTTGACTCTTGGATTCTTCTGGTTCCACATCTGGAAGTCGTGAAGGTGGAAGGAAGGGGAGGCAAAGTAAAAGATAAGTGACTTAAAAAGATAAGAGGCCGTACTGGGGTTCGAACCCAGGTATACGGAATTTCGATCGCATACCGCGTGGTCAAAATCCGTCGTCGTAACCACTGGACCATACTGCCTTTGTTGGGGAGGGCCAGGTCCATTATACAAACATGATCCGAACACCATAATGCAAACATGGTATTTTCTCCTTGAACTTGTTCTTCTCTCCAATAGAAACAAGATAGGAGCAGCTGAGCGTGACGGTCCCTTTTTGGTCTGAGAGAGATAGTGATGGAAATATTGTGATGGACGGATAAGATTGATGGCGTAAGAGAGGGGTATCATACAGTACGAAGGGCGAAAAAAGCGATGACAATCCTAACCTGATATATGCTCTCGATTGTGTAACCCTTCCCCTTCTGCCTGGATCCAGGAACAGGGGTAGGAGAGGGAGAGGAGAGAGAAAGAGGGCATTTAGGCTATTTTAGGGAATGAAATGGTAACCGAATTCGAGCTAGCTGGTGAATCGGTAAATATGCTCCATGAAGGTACAAAAGTTTCTCAAATCCATCCCGACTTCGTCACGATGCCACTTGGATGCTCTCACTATTCATGTTTGTCTCCCCTTCAACCTTGGCTTTACCATCTGCGGGAGGTTTCAGGCCGACCCCTTTAGGGATAGCACTCCTTCCCCTCGAGCCTTCCATCGGACTGTTCGCGACACCGACGTCATCATCACTGTCTTCAACCACTTGGATCTCACCATCCCTGAAGCTCTCCCGATCGCTGGCCAAGGCCGAGGCGTGACCCAAGGTGAAGACGACGTCGTTCCTCCTCCTTTCAAGGAGATTGCTTTCCGTAACAAGCATGCTCTTGTACTTCTCATCAAGGGCCGTCGCTCCATTCTTGCTCGACCTCCTCACTCCTGTCCCGTTTCCAGCGTGTCCTCCCCTGATAGAATCTCTGAGTCTGCGACGGGCATCTCCGGCGTCGGGAGAGCCTGTGGAGACGTCGAAAGAGCGTCTCCGCGCTGAAGAGGTAGATTCTACGTCTTTGGCGGAGAGAAGGCCGGCTGTCGCTGGCAAGTCGGCATCGGAGGAAGTCTGGCCATTGCTGAACGAGGCAGGACGAGCTCTGCTAAGATACTCTCCTCTCAAAGCCTCCACCTGAGGCGAGCCAACGATCCCCCCCGTGGTGGGGCCCACTTTCTTGGCGTGCTCCGGGGTGCGCACGCCGATGCGTGGGGAATTGACAGGGCTTCCAGGTGCAATGCCAGGCCTAGGCGAACCAAAGCCTCTGCTTGGGGATCTCCTACCCTTAGTGACGAAAGTGATCGGTCCATCATCTTCCTCATCATCTGCGTCGGCACCATGAGCTACCGAGGGCTGAGCATTGACGGAGGCATCCAAGACTGGAGATGGTCCCACTGACTTTCCTGCGGGTGGCGAAGCTGGTAGAGCTGATCTGTCGACAGTATTCTTGCTCATACTTGCGGGCTTAGGCCGGACGGCTTGCTCCCGCTCTGCCTTCTCGTCGAGTTTTTCGTTGAAGTCTTCGAACGTCAGAGATAACCAAGTGCTGAGGAAGGAGATGACCTGCTTAGCCTCTGGCATCAAAGAAGACATCTGCAGGAATCCATGACTCCAGCCCTCGATGATCCTCATCTGCACCCAGTCTTCGGGATCCTCGTCCTCGAGAGGATGGCGAGCCGAGTTGGCCAACAGCCCAGAGCTCATTCGGAGCTGCTCGCCGAATCGGGCCGATTGTCCAGCACGTCGGCGCTCTAGTTCTGCCTTTTTCGCGAGCTTTGCTTCTCGAATCCTTCCGGCCATCACGACAGTGTCGTCGCAGAGAGGATCCTTCTCACCGCAGACGAAGAGGACGGGAGGGAATTCGGCTAAAAGTCTAGCTGGGGCCACGATGGGGGAAAGGAAGTAGTCGTGCTCGAAGTCAGGTTGCCTTCTTGGCCCGATGTACAGAATCGCCATGGCCCTCATCATACCCTGCGTGAGGATACGATCTTGGAAGTAGCCAGCCATGGATGTCATCGTCAACCTCGTGTTGATGGGGGCGACCTTTTGATCCTTGGTATGCTGCAGATCTGCAGCCTCGGCGGCAGCTTGGAGGAGTCTCTGCTCCTCTTCGCGTTGAACAAGGGCAAGCGCCTCCTCCATGTCCACTTCCCTGTCAAGAGCGCTTTGCGCGTCAACCTCATGCCAAGGGAGACCAGAGCCACCCCAGTGGGATGGCCCACCGTACTCAAACCCTCCATCGTCTGATGCTGGCTCCGCCTCCGTGAATCTGGCACGCTCGTCGAGATGAAGCTCTGCCTGCTCTGTCAGGGAGTGGTAGGTTCTGTCTTCCCGTGTCATCCCCCCACCTCCGCTGCCGCTGACTTTCTTCTTGGTACCGTCCATTGAGGCCTTCCTCTCGGCTGAACGAGGTCGACCGACGTTCAAGCTCGACCTGCGGCTCCGGCTCGCAGATCTGCTTAATTGAAGCTTGCTACCACGAGCCTGCTGATCCTCCGAGTGTTGCTGAAGAGATTGCAGATTCACTTCGCTCTGTTGGCGCAGGACACGTACATGCTCTGGTTTCATCCAACTCGTGAACCCAAAGTTGAGGCACGGGTAGCTCAGCAGAACACCGATGGGTTTGGGCAAGTCTGGTGCTCGGCTGCCTGGACCTCCGTCCGCCTTGGCCGCATATGCACTCTTGATGTGAGGTTGAGGGTACTCGATGACCTTGAAGATGACGGCAGTGGCAATGTTTCCACCGGCGCTATCACCGCTGAGGATGACGCGAAAGTCGGGACTGCCTGACATCCCAACAATCTTACCCTTGCTCTCGAAGAGGGACCTGTAGACATCGTAGCACTCTTCGATGGCGAAGGGGTAGGGGTACTCCGGAGCTTTGCAATAATCTATCGCCAAGACAGGTTTCCCCATCTCTCTGGCGAGTTGCCTCAGCCTCTCCTCATGGTGCTGCGGCGACATGCAGATGAAGCCTCCCCCACAAAAATCGACCATGAGCTCTTCCTCCTCCCTCAGATCACGTTCTGAGCCAGAGTAGAAGAGCCAAGCCCTTATCGGACGCTTGTTGTGGGCTCCCAACGTCGGCCTCGGTAAAAGCAAAGGCCTTGCTATCGGTAAAGAAGGACGATGGAACCATGTGATGGCTCGGATGTAGGGGTTGGTCGTCTTCTCCCACGTGGCTCTCATCATTTCGACCGTGCAGAAAGCTCGGAATTTCCTTAGCTGGTGATGATTTGTGTGCACGAAGATGGGAAGGATGTCGGAAGGGGTCGATGTTGACGGGTTGGGAGAAAGATGGGATGCATTCGGTAAGTAAGGCAAGACCACTCCTGATTCTTCACCATGTCATCGAGACTGCTCACTTTCTCGTCAGCTTCATTGGCATAGATAAGGTAGTATGAAGAGAAAGCCAGGCTGAGGATGTCGCGGAGCCACTTGGGCCTTATGTTCATGGCGGTCGCAAAGCCGGCATCGAGGGCGGTCACGATCCAAGTCGTTCGGTAGAAGTTTCGAGAATACATCCTCGCCAAGGGCTCCGGGGCTTTCGATTGGAGATTTTTAGGTTGGAGGGGCCTTAGGGTCAGAGATTCCGGACCACACAAGAAACATGATAGAAATAGAAATGGGAATGTGCTCACCTCCAAAGCCCAGGATAGAGTCAAGATGCCTGATCGCATACACGGCTGTGCAAGTGAAGACAACGATCTGCCAAGGCGAGTAACGGCCTGGGGGGGGGAGTGGAACGAGCGAGCAAGCATACCCAGCGATCAAAGAAGCATGCAGATGAATGGTCAGCAACGTCAAGAGAGGTGGCAAGTCGGCGGGAGAAGATTTGAGCAAGATGGATACCCACTCGATTTGCGATTCAGCCAGTTGATCAATGAAAACCTCCTCGGCCCATCGCGGCTACCAGTGGCTAAGAACCAGAGCCAGAAGAAGATGACAGAGAAGACCTGAAGCCTCTTGAGCTTGGTCGAGGGCCTCCCGAGCAAGTGATCGATCATCTCGGCTTCTGCCAGGTTGGAGCGAATTGATCTGGAGCTCGACCTTTGGGACTCGAGCTCTCTTAGTGGGAAGGATCAAGCCAAATCCTCCAACCTCCTGATCCCGAAAGGCTCTTTGCTGGCTGGCTGGCTGATTTTTTATTCCTTTTTTTTTATTTTTCTTTTGGGGTGTGTGCAAGTTGTTCTTCTAGCCCGCCTCTCAGTCCTGATGGGGGCGTCGAGAGGGAGACCTTTTGCAAGGTTTGGGATCAAGGATGGGACTGTGAGTCGATGGTGAAGTGGCTACCAAGGGGTCCAGTCTGTCGAAATTTTGAGGTAAGGTTGATATGAGCAAGAGTGCTGAGTGCTCGATCTTTTGCACTTTGGGAACTGTGCTCGATGAAAGAGATGGAGCGGTGAGAGATGAATGGGTGACCGAGGACTTCACTTCCTGCGAGAGAGGCACTTTTCGCCGAGCTCACACAGAGAGAGAGTGTGTGTGTGTGTGTGAGAGGTGCGAAGAGGATGTTTAAGCGGGAGGGAACGGAAGAGGGGATTCGAGGTGGCCTGTGATGGCTGGGATGGTCAGCAGAATTCGAGGTTGTGAGCGTGAGAGAGAAGGAGGTGACCAAGGTTGAAAGCTGACAAGAGAATGGTTTGTTTGAGAGTCACAACAGCCTTTGAAAGTCGAAGTAGTCAAACGTTGTTAGAGTGAGGGTGTGGCTTCGTGAAAGTGTGTGCGTGCGCGTATGTGTGCGTGTGTGAAAGCAGGATCATACAACTCGACGCAGAAAGTAAACCACAGTCAGGGGCGGAAGGGATTGTCCCAACCACCAAGAGATGATCCCGAGAGCCTTGATGTGTTGTTGTTGATGATCTTGTTTCTTATCATCCTTTTTTTAAGGAAAGGGAGGCGAAGAGAGAAAATAGGTAATTGAAAGTGAATGCATGGAGGTCTGTCTGCCTTGAGATTTGCGCTAACGGTAGAAAAAAATGGCAAGGGTTCAGGGACCCATGGAAAGGAAAGGCTTGTGAATCACGACTTCCCTCTCTGTGCTCCCTCTATCTCCCTCTCTTCCCCCCTCTCTCCCTTCACTCACGTCAGATTGCGATCCAAGC